AGAGACCGTCCGCAGCTCCTCCGGGTACCTCGCAGGGCAGCAGCTGCCCGGGGCCAGCCCAGGTGAGCCCCTCACCGGAGCAGGACAGAGCTCAGCCACCCTCCAACGCTTGATTTGGGAGGCAGCAGGATCCTCCAGGGAGGGATAGAACCTGGCTGGGCACCAGCACTTGATCTCATCAATGTACATAAATGCTTCAAGGGCAGGCGTTCAAAGCATGGTGCCAGTCTTTTCAATGGTGCCCAGAGACAGGATGAGGAGCAACGGCCATGAACTAAAACATAAGTTCCACCTCAACATTAAGAAGACCTTTACACTGAGGGTGGAAAAGGCTGCCCCGAGAAGTCGTGGGGTCTCCCTTTCTGGAGACATTCAAAACCAACTGGACACGCTGATCTTGGTCGCTGTGCCACAGCAGTGAGGTTGGACTGGATGATCTCCAGAGATCCCTTCCAACCCTAACAATTCTGTGATGTACTTTTCCCATTCTCCTCCTGCCTGAACAGCAGTGGGTAGCTTGGGAGAGCCTTGACAGCTCCCTGTGCACCTCCTACACCTGGCCTGCCAACCCCAGCACAGCGTTCTCCCTCTGGCTGCACCATAGTTGTCAGCAAGAAAAATCACATGGCTTGAGCAGGTGCACGCTCCTTTCTGTTCCCCAGATATCAAAAGTGTAAGGAAAACATGTGTTTTACCCAGGAGAACACAACACATCCCTGTGCACTGCTGAACAAAAACGCTCAGAGATACCCATTTATATGCAACCTTTAGTATACTCATTTCTTGAAATGGAGTAGCACATATTCTTTGTTTAAAACTCATTTTAGAGGACACCTCAAAAATTCAGTCCCTGTCAATTATGACCCAGTTTTGAGGCTGAATGAAGCCAAACACTACTCTTGAACAACTTCAGAGGCCTGATGGACTCAATTCTGTTGTGGCAGCCCCCACACCCACAGCAAACCCTCCCAGTGGTAGGCTGGAGCAGGGGAAGGCACACAGCTGTTGCAGACCCTGGAGGCATCACTTCCTGGGGTGGGGTGGTAGGAAGCAAATTCAATACTTACATTGCTGTTTCACTAAGGGCAGCCTTAATTCAGTCAAAGGGAGCCTCCAGTTGACTGAAGAGCAGGTTTTCTTAGTCGTTCCTCAGGTCTTAAGTGCTACCTTCAGTTGCTTCTGTATGAGGCAGCCCTCATGTGGGCACATCACTGGATCAGATAAAAAGTATCTCTAGATCTTGTCTTAGTAGTGGACATGAAGATGTACTTACATATGTGCTGTCAAGTAACGATTCTTCCCCTGAAGACTGCTCCTGGCACTTGGTGACGTGATCAATGGACTTTCAGAGAAAAAGATGGTATTTTTGTAATTATTATCCATCAGCTGAGTTTTCTCTATCATGATGTGATAGAAGCCCTTTATGAATGAACCCATGTGAACTTTTGCCACATGCTATATTTTGTGGTAGTCAATGCAAGAGATTGTATTAGCAGTTTATGGAGAAATACTTCTGGTTTTCCTGTACTGGTCCTCTGCATACTTCAGGTGACTTACATATAAAAAAAAATCTCATAATCAAGTGTTTTGTTTCTGCTCAGTTGCCTATGTCTATCTATAAATCTATTATACTAGCTCACTGAACTGTTTTATTATATATTAGATTGTTCCTCTGACCCTCATGTTTCATCTTCCATTTCCACTGCATCCTAAATCTCTTTTTCTGCTGTCATTGGAGGTCCTGCTCTCTTACACTTTTAGGGAGAGTGGATGCAATCCCTTCTCAGGTACATGTGCTTCTCTGAAGCACTCTGTTTTCTAGACCAGGTCAAATGCTTGTTCCAGCAATTGATTTTAAGTATTGTGAAGTAAACTTTGTAAGGTTTCAATGACTTTCACCCTTGTTTAGCCAGCTGTTTTCACAAACCTTATTGTCTAGTGAAAAAAAAGACAAACAAGTAAGTATTCTATCCACCAATTCTATAATTACCAATTTACATTCTTTCCGAACTAGATGTGTTGTGGGGTTACTTTTCAGGAAGCTGCAATCCTCACAGCTTGCCTTGTTTCTGTATTTGCTTTTGATTCTGAGAGTGCTACAGCAGCCTGAAAAGTAGGTGTTTAAGTCACACAGAGCACATTATTATCGTGCACAAATTCAATAGCAAAGTATTATGGAGGGAATCAAATATGAAAAGGTCTAATTAATTAAATTATTTAAAAATAGGATGTGCCTAGGATTCTTTGTGGAGCAATGATATTGTACACATTCAGGACTGTGCTTAGCCATTTGCTTTAACCATCATTGTTCTTGTTGAAACTATACAACCATACTCTCACCTTCCTTTTCTTCTAACAGCAGTTGGACAAGCTTTTTTGGAGAATGGGCAGGTTGTAGAGAACACCAATTCTATTCCTGTTTCTCTCCTTGGTAATGCAAGATTCCAGTCCTAACACCTCTGGAGAATGTGTTTCAAAGGGCAAATACAATGGGAGTCTTCATGTAGAAGTGTCTTCACAAGTTTAAGGGACGAGGAGGGGAAGCTGACTCTTAGGGAGTGGTGAGCAGCACTCAGGGCATCACAGCACTGTCTTCACTGTGTTCTTAGTCACACCCAAACCACCCTTTGGAAAACAGTGCCCAAGAGTAATTTACTCACTTCCACTTCCCTCCCTGTCTCTCTTCTAAGGTCTAAGGAGTTATACCTCTAAACACAGCCAAGCTGAGCTTCAGGGCTAATAAACCAGGCTGCATTTTTGCTCAGGGCCGGCAGCTGTTTGTAATTGCACCTTCCTATTCCCCAACTGTGGCACCAGAATCTTGCAGCCAAGGGATGAAAAACACCTGATTACAGAAAAGAGTAACAAACCTGGGCAACTAACAAGTGTTGTAAGGCTGTTAATCACAGCTTAGTGTCTTGTATGAACCTGTGTTTCTTTCTAAAACATCTGCTGGTATCTGTGCAAAATGATGAGCAATTAGACCAGAATTGTCTTCGGGCTAAAGGTTTGCAATGTGTGTTACACTAATTAATTTTCAAGTCTCAGATGTGCCTAATCACAGTGTCTAATGAAAATCATACAGGTCTTGGACATAGTTGTGATTGTTGGATTTTCAAATACTAATTAAATCGTGCTTCAGGTTAAGGAAGGCTTAAGATTTACAATGCAGAAGCAACCCAAATGAAGGCAGCATGGATATTTCAGAGGAAGGTATCTTTTTTCTCCATTTGCTGACATTGTTACTGAAGATGTCAGAAAAACAATGTATGAGACACAAAGCAGTCTACAGACTGGACATTGACAAATGAGATTAAAGCATTACTAAATTAGCAATAACAAAGACCAAAACTCATCTAAAGTTCAACTTGAAGGGAAATGGCTCATCTGGTGATGTTTTACTCATCTGGTTTTGCAGGTACAGGCTGAAGCAACAATTTAGTGTTAAAGTAATCCTAATTTAAGGGTTCTTTGTATCATGATGAAAGTCCTGCAGCCACATGCTGTAAAATATGAGTCTGATAGGAATTTACTTATAGGGCCAAATGCATTTAAGCTGTTTTGCCTGTTGAACTTCATGCTAGAATGTTTTATGTGGGATCAGATGTCTGATCATGTCTGTTGTTCTGCAACTAATGTAAAAGAAGCACAAACCTATCAGGCAAGTAATTAAAACCTGTACCACAAACCCACTTCTGGTGCAGACTAATTTTGTACTGATGATGTTCTGATAGCCCAAGTACCCACTGCTAATGCCAAGGGCCAGATTTCACAGGTATCATTTTGCATCTCCCACAGAGGTGGGCATTTTGGACAAACATGCTGACATCACTACCTTGCCACGGGGCTTACTGAGATCTTCTTACCATGTTGCTTTTTTTTAATGCCATCTTCTTGTCTCTTCCAAATGCAGTATATACAATAAAGCAAGGTGGGGTTTTGGTGTTGATTTTTACTGTTTTTTGTTTTTACAGGTTTGTGTAGAATTATTGTCCGTGACTTTTAATGATTATAGTGAGAGTCAGTTTCAATGTTAGTATGTCTCCTCTAGCCAAGCAGGAAACAGACATCCTAAAACATTTTCTTTAAGCAAGCAGTCCCCTTTGTTAACTTCATGAAAATAGTAAGTTACTACATGCAGGATAGTGAATTCTAGGCACTTTAACATGCATGCCCAGATAGAAAAAACTTGAGAAATATCAAAATCCAAAGGAAGTATTCTGCCTCTATGTGCTGATGAATTAATTTCATCATGCTAACATATTAATTAACTCATCCTGTAGTGCAATATGGAGATGTCACATGGAGACATAGCATGCAGAAGCCAGAGTGCAACAGAGTTTTGAAATGGAATGCATTTGATGGCTTCTATGGATTAACAATTTGGAAACAGGAAAGGATTGTGTAAAAAAAAATAAAAGCGAAATATTCCCAACCTTCTATTTTTCTATCTGCCAGAAGAACCAATCCCTCCACCCCACTCCTCCACCCCCTTGGATTTTTTAAATAAAGATGTCTTTTGTGCAGGTTGTGCTTTTCCACCCAAATACAAGGATTAAAGGGATAAATAACTGCTTTCTGGAAGTACCATTGCAAAGTTTTCTGATCCAACAGCTATCAGGCCAATAAAGTGTTTTATGCAGAATGTGCATTTTCAATGAGTTATAACTTTATGACCTGAAAGTTGGTCATAGTATGTTATTCTGATATGATTCTAGCAGCCTTCCCACATGAATACTGTAAATATCATAGCAGAATATCCCCAGTATTTTTTGTCAAACAAAAGGAGTGAACAAGTTATTTTCTAAATAAAATGCAGCTTATCCTAACAGGAATCTTAAAGATAGAACAACCAGAATAAAGGTGTATTGGGGATTGTGTTTTCCTCTTCACCCTTCTTAAAGTTATTTAATATGACCTACCCAATTAACCTGAATTAAGGCAGGAGATACACAGTATACTGATATATCCAAAGGATGACATTCATTCCAGTGTAAAATGAATAGCATTGTATTAACGTTTATTTCTAATTACAAGAAACAGAATATCAGTCCCTTATTTGTACAAAAATACCTGAAAGATTACAATTAGGTTCACAAGCCAAAAAGCTATTTACAGTATGAAGCAAAGCATATTGAATAAAGGTTTTGTCTCTTAAGTTAATACCTTTTGCATTCCCTGAAACTTTAAACTTTATTCCATTTTACAGTCACTAAATCTTGCATTGTGACAATATAATTTATGATAAGCAAGTCTTGCCACTGGAAAGGTGCATTGATTGGTCAAACTGTCAGGTATTTAGTGCAGAAAAGATAAGACAAAACATCTAAACTGAGGCACGTGTTTCTTCAAGATTAATTAACAAATAAAAAGTTTTTTGTACTTTAACACCTATCGTAACATAACTTAACTAGTTACCTCATTACCAAAATGGTTTGGCATTTTCCTTCTAAACATATTCAAGATTGCTACATGAAATATTTATTTAGAAAATAAAATCACAGGCAAAAAGATAAAAATTCAACAGGCTCCAAAACAACCCTGAGCATCCCCTTTACATTCATGTCATTTAAATACAAAAATAAGAGTCAAATGTCCTTCAGTCCTTGGTATTCTGAGCTGGCAGCCAGCTGAATCTGTTGGAAAACTAAGGTGGCATTGACTGTTTTCCAGCAGAAAGAAGACAAAGCAGTGATCTGCTTAAGTAAGATTGTTGCCACTTTGAAGGTGGTCACTTTCTCAAAACAGCTCACTTTAGCTGGGAAGAGTACAAAATACTAAGTCAACCATCTACATACAAAAATCATGGTTCATAGTCAAACTTTTATTCTCAATTTAAATAAGATGCAAAGTTGTTGGTTTTTTTTATAAATATGAAACACTGCAAATACTATCCACCTACTGGGAAAAATGCATGGTTGTCACTAAGCTATGTAAACAGAAAAACTTAAAACTACAGCATAAATGGTCTTATTAAACTGGTAATGTAGTCAATACAAGTATCTTTTTTCTCCTAATAGGGGCCAAATAGAAGCATGCAAAGTGAAGTCAGACTTAAGTTAGCTTAATTTCAAGGTTTTAAAATACATTGTCAAAAAAGCAGGAACACTCATTTCACTATGTACAATTAAAAAAAGCAAAACAACGAAACAAAAAAGGCTTCTACTAAAAATCAAGTTTCTTCATTTTTAGTATCTAGACATTAAATGGAAAAAAATACTAAATGTGTTCTGTAAACTAAAATACAGTGTTTCTATACCATTGACATAGTTTAAGCTGATATGGACGACTCAGGCAGGTTATGGTTTGTCTTAAGCTATTCTTAACACTACATGAAGACTAGTAGGATTGGTTTTCCTTTTTTACCCTTTCAGATGGCTAGGATTTCAAACTCAGTGGCAAATATTAAGGATTAACTAGCCTGTGTAAATAATTTACCATTTTACAAATGCTCTGTTCTGCACTACACTCTGCAAGTTCCCAGGGTGGAATACTTCTCACTGTGGCTAACAGCACCAAGCACTGAGAAGTTACTTCAGTTCAGTTGCTGAAGGAATGGTTGGTTGCAACTGCAGGATCAAGGTGGGACTTGTCTGACTTTAATACTGATTTATCATCAGAAAGAGTTATTGTGTAAACATGAAATAATTCATTTAAACATTAACAATAAAGTAGTTCTGATGATAAACCAGCACCAGAGCAACATACATGCTTGTCTGCCACAGGTACCGGTGTGCAGTAGCACACATGACACAGGGATCACCAGTTACCTCAATTGATGATATTTCCAGCAGCTACTTCACAATCAAATCTGTTTCTATTCCCAGCATGTTCCTTTCACCATGTAAACTTTCATGGCCCTACAAAAAGCAGAAGGGGTTCAGTTCTTCTTATGCCCTATCCCCAGGAGAGCATTGTGTCACTGTAGCTTTACTATATCGAAAGAGCTCTTTGAAACAGTCTGAAAATTTAAGGAGCTATAAAGCTAAAAACACTGTTTTAAATTTTTTTTGTCATAATAAGACTACCTGCAGAAGAATCTTCTCACAAAAAATGGTGGTTTCAAATGCAAGTGTAGTCATTCAGTCCTACTCTATTTAGTAACAGTAAGTTTCCTCAGGAAAACAGTCAAAAGGCTGTAAAAAACAAACCACCACTCCAATAATAAAAATTTGTGCATAGAATCTAATACAGTCTCTGCATGACTGGATGCCACTAATACGCCATCAACATACTACAGCCATAATGCTACAAGTCAACAGTTTTAAGAGTACGTCTATTGGTGGTATGTTCTTTTAGAATTGTATCCTCATTGCTTCTTCAAAGACATCTGCAGATTACTGAACCTCAGGTCTCCAGAGAAGTACTGAGACATATGTGCGCACGCGCGCGCGCACACGCACACACACACACACACACGCACACACACACACACACACACACACTTCTAGATTTTCTTCTAGATCCTTTTAGGCTGAAGCATTCCATACATTTTAGGGTGCGGATTAATACCCAACTCCTGCATGAATTTTAAAAGCCACATCAGCTCCTAATATAGGCTGCATACAATATCCGAAACAAAGTAGGAGTGCAAAAAAAGTGATCAATACAAAAAGTAAACACACTAGTCTTAATTGTCAAGATTATTCCAGGGCAAGAGTTCTTTTCAGAGATTTCTCTTCACACTTGTTCCTGTTAAGTGGTCCAGCCAAGATAGTTTCCAGTTTTGTTTCAGATTTACTCATTGTTTTACAGACCCTCCCCCCATTTTTGGGATGCTGGGACACTCAGCAGCAATCACTCTTAGGTGTTAGACAAACCAGCAATCTTGGTCTGTTGGCACCTGTCGAATCCATCCCTTTCAGAGTCCCAAGGTGCATAATATTTTTTTTTTTTAACCAACTTACAAATCTGCTAATTCCCCAGTGTCAACGTTCTCTTACAATTACTCTTCTATCAAATCCAGTCTTCAGTGAGGGTCAGATTTGAGGTCATAAGGCCACTCGGATGCAGTGGTGTTTGAGTTTGCAGGGCAAGACTCCTTTGTTTAGTTGATAGAATTCAACAAGCTGGATTAAATCACTGAATTTGGTGTTCCCATCATCCAGACTGAAAAATACCTGCCCATCATCTTCACACTAGGAAAACAAAACATCCTTTTTAAGTTAGGCTGCACATGAAGAGATACATGCACAGAAGAACTTAGAGAGTACCACCAGTGTGGGCACTCAGTTGGCACTTGGTTGTCCAAACAACCCAGTGCCTGTAGCTCTTTACAAAACCATGCACAGCGCTAGAGAAAACATACCTTAATCCAACTTGTAACATTTTGCTTATGAAAGTGAAAACTTGTGGGCAGAGTAATTCATAGTTGTACAGACAGCACTGACATTCATTAGATAAAACAAAAACACCTCAAAAAGATTTCTTGGCTGTTTGTAAAATTGTCAGAAACAACAGGAGAAGGTTTGGAACAATAAAAAGATCTATATAATCTTATTTTTTTCATACTTTTTTGGATCAAGATAAAAATCAAATTGTTTTCCAGCATTTCAGTGTAACGTTATTTGAAGCTCAGCATTATTGGATAACCTCCAGAATTTTTAAGAAAAAATTTTTAAAAAAAGTTATTCTATGTTTGCTTAAGTGAAAAAGGAGACAACAACCACTGTTGTTGCCGACAGTCACAGAGAACAAATTCTGTACATTTCACACTCTTGCGTAATGTAGTGACTTACACTAGTTTTCCAGCAGTGTTAGTCAACAATTTTAATCAGACAGTTGACAATTCTAAAGAGTATCTGCTTATATACTTTCTAATGGAAAAATCCTTGTTAGTTATATCAGTAATTAATAAGAGATCTCCTCAGATGTTGGCAAAAGCTTCACGGTTTAGAATTTTGAGTTTTGTTATCAGTATCAAAAATAATCTACTTACCGGCAAGATTTGAAAATGCTTTATTTTTTGATGATGGCATAATGTAAGTACAAACGCCTTTGGATTGCTTTGGCTGTCCCGGAGAAGAAATAATCTAGGAGAAAACATTTTTAAGAACAAATTGAATACCCCTATCTGTTTGTTCTTAAATAAGAAGACTACTACATAATTTTGTGCCACTGCTAAACTCTTTAGTTTTATTAAGAGGTGATCCTGTAACTGGGAATTTGCTTGCCATTATTATACCATGCCTATGCAACATTGACAGATGAAGAAACAGGAAGTAACAAGAAGTACAAGATATATGATAGTAGTTCTTCCCCTAAAAATGTACCTATGAGTCTTTTCTTAAGGTTCCCTCTAACTCAGCTCTCCATTAATGATATATACTCTCATGAAGAAAATGTTACCATTTAATTGTAGAGAAAATCTGAATTTATGTTGATGGGAAAGTAATATATGGGAATCTGTTCCCACTCTACAATATCTTGCATCAGTTCACAGAAATCCAGTGTCAGCAAAATTATCTGTAGGCTAAATGACCGCAATTGCACAGAAACAGCTCAATATTTTCTTAAAATTATTTACCAGTTAAATAGCTTCCACATTATCAAGATGGGGAAAACACACACTGATTTTTCCTCTACAACAGTCAGTATTTTTCCCTCAGCATTAGTGGAAAAAAAAATTTACATTAGGCATACAGCTACCAACATCACACACTATGCAGTTGTCACTTTTAAGTTAACCCACAAAATTGAAGTCCTACACCAAATGGACTTTATTTAACATCCATACTGGGAAGAGAAGAAAAAAAAGCTAGATAAGAAACCCTGTGTTTCCTCCCCTTGACATTTATAAACTAAGGAAGCAGATCCTCTCCATGCCACGTAAAAAACAAGAATATACCTTTGGCACAAGGATTATAGCACTACTCACTAGTGGATTTATGAGATGGCTGAGCACAGGACTTGGGCAGGCCTCTTAACTGCTGACCACTAAGCCAGGAACACACTTTTCCAAGGTGCAGTTGCAAGAACTGCTTGTAGTCTTAAGAACCCAAAAGAATTTACTGCAGCTCCTCAGAACTGTTTGAGAAATGTCAGTACCACAAAAATGCACCATCGGAACCGGAGTCAGTTTAGTAGTCAGGGACAGGCATGTTTTGCCACTCTCAAAAACCATGCATGGTATTTGAACATTCCATTGTAATCCTAGGAAGACCAGATGTGTGGAAAAGGGGCGAAAGCCTTTACAAATTAGGATCCATGTGAGGGAGAAAGACCTTACCTGCCCTGTGATTACTGCAGTTCACGCAGGTATCTCTCAATTATTTTTCATCTAGCTGTTTCAGACAATGCATGGTATTGTAAGCTGGTGGCATAAAACAAAGGTCTGCACAACTGATGCTGCAACTGTTTACTCAACCTCTGGCAAGCAACCGGCTTTCACACAAACAATGACTACCAAAAGAGATGCATCCTCAACAAGACCATCCAGAGATATCCAAGACAGCAGCATCAGTGGCTTGTATACAGTGTTGAGCCTCTTCCATGAACCAAGAGAAGACTGTTAACTTTCTACCGTCTTTGTTCAAGAACACACAAAGCAGGTAAACATAGGCAAGTTTTCCACCCTGAAAATCATGAGCACATAGATCTCAGAGCACATAGGTAACATAGCTCTTTCATCACTGCTGGTGGATCTTACTATGGCCAAACTAACCAATTTTCATACTCCACAGTGGGTAAGCTGATTAGGCACAAATTTAACACAGCATCAAACACATGAACACATTTATGAAGACCTCAAGAAGGATGGGCCACCAGATTCCTAAGGCAACAAGACAAAATGAGCCCAGGATTATAACATGAGAAAACCAGAAACTCAGAAAGTCAGCAGGGCTCCTTTGCTTTTTCAGCTTCTTTTCTGTTGGACCTGCTTAGCTTTCTGTTGGACCCCTATCCAGCCTTAGCCTATACAAAACACCCCAAAAATAAGCAAATACTGCTTGATAAATATATATATATATATATATATATATATATATATATATATGCATGACCAATTTCTACTTCCCTAATGTATTTTCATCTTCAGAAAAATAAATGTTGCTTCTGAGTAAGAAAATGCTGAAGATAGGTTTGAACTTCACTTTCTCCTGTAAAGCCAACATTGATGTTTCTACCTTAACCCTGAGAGCAATGAAGAAAGTGAACCAAAGGCAACCATGCCTTTCCTATCCTACAAATCAACAAGGCTGAATGCAGTTCAAGCAACTTCCCTTCAATAAACATAACTCCATATAAATAAGGAAAACAGAGATGCTCAGAAGATACTTAAATCTCAACCACAGACATTTTAGAGAGGGCTGAAACAGGTACTTCAATTTCTTTGCTCTAGAACAGAAATAGTGAGCAAGCACCATTAGCTGCTCTGATTCATGCAGAAGAGCATGGATGGCTCATCATAAATTTGTTGGCAAGTGGTTAGATACAGCTTTGCCTGAAAAATATGTCCTCAATGGAGATTACAAGAATTAACTATTTTCAAATCCTAACACAGTCTAAAACTTGACTGCCTCTGTTGGAAAGAAAGAAAGAAAGACACTTAAGTGTATTCCTAAAATTATACTTTTCAAATTAAAAGTTAGGATCCACCCATAAAAACACACACTCTGACTTTTTAGAAGCCAGGCAGGTTTTAAGGGGACTACTTGACAATCAGGTTACTCAGAAGTGGTCACAAACCTGTAAACCATTACAGCAGACGTTGTGCTCTTGTCTATAAAGCTTACTGTCAGATCATAAACACTGAGCAACAAGAATACCTACCCATCTACAAGCCCTTGTTGCTTAATAATCCTGTGAGATTCTTCTCTAGAGATTCTGCCATGAAACCAGTGCTGTGTCCTATGAATAACTGGAGGAGAGAGGAAAAAGAGGGAGAGGATGGTTAAAAACAGTTACACATGCAATAATTTTTTCCACATGCTAATTATTTAAACATTTTAAAAGTGGGTATAGTTCTCTTACAGAATATAAAGTATCTTCTATCAACCTATATAAGAAAGAATCAGTATCAAAAAATGCATCTACTTAATATACCAAGCAGAGAGGCATTATCTACATATATTTTCTGATTTGCAGATATACAGTTAGGTAAGCAAGAGAAGTCTCTTATAATACTGCCTTCTCATAGCTTCTCAAACATACTGGTACTAACAATACTTACAACTCAATGTATAAGCTAATGAGTTAGAAACAAGTCCCTCTAAATCTCAAATAAAGAAATGCACTTTAGATGGTGCTTTCAAGAGTCAAGTTAGTCCCCAATAATTTTATTTTTATTGTTTTGTTTTTCAAATGGTATTTTAAAATTCTGTTAACAGAATAGCAAGAGAAAATAGCTGCATTTCCTCAAAGAAGTTTAGGATATTAATATGTAATTTCCTGCTGTTTAAATAAATTTAAAGTCTCAAAGAAATGTTGAGGATTTGCATATTTTATGTTTTTCAGTTATTATGGAACAAATTCTGTTTTGAAAACTTTCATTTCTAATCTTTGAAGATTAAAAGATCACTCATTAAATTTCCTTGTCCAAAATGGCAAATTAACTGCTGGATTCTTTTAAATGGAAACATTCATAGTGTGTCTATTTTTACAAAATACAAGTTTCAAAATATTAGTCCTAAAGAAAAGCTTGAGTGGGCCATCAAAGGAAAACAAGTTCCTTCTACAGTGTCAATATGGGTAGGAATGTTAATGACATAGAAGCTACTGATAAGGATTGCACTTGACATCAAGGCATTCGTACTACATGGTTGCACTCTGTGTCTGTATGAAATCTACCTTTTCTTTATCCACAGAGGCCTCTGATACTATGGTGACAAACCATCAGAATTTACCTGTACTCAGTGTGGAGGGATGGAGTGGACTTTGGCTACCCAAGATGTTCATTCTTGTGCTACGTTTCTATAGAGAAAATGAATTACCGTTAAATCCACACTAACACCTCAGGAGAAGAGAATTAGTGCACATGCAATATAGATTTAATTTACAGGAAACCGGGGGCTGGGCAGATTTAATGCAAGGATGAGAAAAAGAAATGCAACTTTGAAGGGGGCTAATCTACAAGCAGCAGCTCATTTCAGTTGGCTTAAAACACAAGCCAGATGTTAATGACGAAAGCTCAGTATCTTAAAAAAAAAAAAAGGAAAAAAAAAGACAGAAAAAAAAAAGAAAATACTTATATGTTTCTGCTCAGGCAAAACACCGGGCACTCAGTAAATCAAGCAGTATTTCCCTCCCATACTTAAAGCACCAGCTAATGCTTCAGTAATGACTCCTTTTCCCTAAAAGACGAGCATGTGGGAAAACTTGTACTGCAGCTATCTGTCCACAAGACACTATAAACAAGTTACATCAGTTTTCATTGCAAGAGGTCCTGCCTCTTGTATATTCTGCAATTAAACTTACTGGGAGCAAGCCATTAGTCAGAGCCCCAGCCTCTTCCATGTGGGGAAGCATTTAATTTGACATATTCCTCCTCAGAGACTGGTTTTGCAAACTGGCAGTAAAGTTCTGGTGGGTCTGCTTTCCCCCTCAACTTTCCTCTGGACACTAGGGGGACAGAGAAGCAGTGGTAGAAGGTTGTTGTGAATGTGACAGTTTTGCTAAAGATGGATATTGACTTTCAGATCTGCATGCTTGCAGCGTGATTGCTTCAGGTCGGAGCTAAGCTATACTGTGACCAGCACTGCACTAAAATCATAGCACACTCTGTGTTTTGGCTCTCAATAGACACTTACTGATTGCAAAAATAGAAAAGAAGAGAAGATAGCTACCCTCCAAGCATGTCCTTCTTCCAAGGCAGCACTCCGGGCTTCAGCAGGATTTTCAATAACTCTTCCTATTTGCCCCGAAAAATCCATTGCTACTAGTGAGTTTTCAGATACACTTCTCTGAAAAGGAATTTTCACTTGTTTCAAAAAACAGGGAAAGGAAAAACCAGCTTGATAGTTTCATTTCAAACTGTTTTGGTTTCAGAAGACTGTCCAAAATCCTCCTTCAACACCACAGAAAATACATATTATTTTTTTCCCCTTTCAAAAGTTTCACAGACACAAAAATAGATGGCTTTTCTTTTTTGACCATAGGGGAGGGAGAAGATTCAAAGGCTCAAAATAAAATCTATTTGCTCAAGTTGCCCACTTGCCCTATTACTATATTCCAGTCATTTTCAGGGCCCGTTGGGATGCAAATACAGGCTCTTCCCTTTTAGGTAGTTAACAGTCAGCTCTTGGCCCAACATATTTTAGGAAAGCTATGTGTCAGTTTTGCCAGACCTAAGCTGGCTTCTGCAGAGACAGCCAGATGTCTCTGAGCTGTACATCTCAAAGAGCGTGACGTAGCCAAGATTCTTCAATCATGTGGATCATGTAAGCCTAAGATAATGGAGAATCAACCATGGAAACTGTACTCATGCAAAACATGAACTTTACATCAATTTGCTACACAATGCTGAATTTACATTTCTTAGCAAAAAAAATTCCACTTTTAAAATGCAAAAGCAAATGTATGTATCATTTCCAACATCATACATCAGTGAGGTAAAGTTCATCACTTACTACTGGAGTGGAAAAGTGTGGAAGCATGGCTTTTCGCTGCTGGGGAATTCTATAATTCTGATACAGTAGCATTCCATACTGCCAACAGAAACACAAGAACATTATTATTCAAATATATGCCCTAGGAAACAAATTGTAGTGATTTCATAATACCACTTACACTGATGCAAGTGCCACCAGTTTCTTATTTTCCTTATCAGAAGCTCTCCCAAAGCCATTTGCATTGAGTAATAATGATAGGCAGGTGGCAATAAAAGAGTAAATATGCACAAAAAGTTTTATTAAAAAAATAAAAACTTGAGTGATATACACAGGTTTTTTCCACTCTCAGCTACCACCATGTTTTCCTTGTAGAACACAAGCTTTCAGTCGAGATCAGAACACACATATTAATTCCCTTCTTTTTACCTTCTAGAACTTAAAAAAATTCTACACAAAACATTCAAACTCAGTTTTCATAATGATAAAAAATAAGAACCTTTCTAATTCACTAGCTCTTTCAATACATTTCACTATCAGTTGGTACTTTTCTCATCCTTAAAAAATTAAGGTGATTGAATTCCAATCAAGCCCTTGGTTGAACATGATGAATTTTAGCAACACTAGTAGTTAGGATGGTAGGTAAAAACCTCCTCAGTGCCTTCCCTAGGGGCACAGTGCTGAAGCAGAGCAACATTGCTTACTGAATGTTCTAACTGAAACAGTTTATACAATTTTCAAACAAGGTAATATAGGACTATGGAAAGCTAAATGAGATAGTGAATAAAAAGGAGGATTATGGCCTTGGGGCAAAGCTTTAATTTTCACTGACTGTACACCTTTAATCATGTTTTGGTGTGTCTTAAAAACAAAGTCTTTTTTTTTTTCTGTACATAGGACATAGAAAGGTAGAGAGAAAAACACAGCAGTTTTCAAAGCAGCACATTCAGAAAAAGACTTAGAACAAAACCAGAATTTATGCACATTTTCCTATGAAGATCAGGAAGTTCTCTCCTTCAAAGGTGACAAAATAGTCCCTTTCTCCTCAGTTCCCTCCATCCCGATTTTGTTTCAAAAGGCAGTGAAGCCTCCTATCATATTACCAAGAAATGTCATTGTGTGCTCTCAGATATGAGTAACTTTCACCCAGTCATAGGGTTACTAATTTTTGTTACTTCTTCTAATAGAACCTTCAGAAAAATGGAAAAAAAAATTGCTAAAGACATTCCATTCTGGTAAAGAGAACCACTTACCATTACAAAAATATTTTCTTTAGTTTTATGATAATTTAGCTTTATGATAACTTGAAATTTTAATTGAATTTTCTTTAGCTTTATGATAACTCGAAAATACCTCATTAAGCAGGTTTTTTAATTCATTCACATATCTCAAATTTCGAACCAAAACCAAAATGGTGCTTGTTTCATATGTGGAAGGAATAGATCTCAGTCCCGTGCTTAAATTCTTAGGTGGGACAGGCCTGCTTGGCATTTTGCTCTTATCCATATTGTTTTGGAGCAAATGACATTTAAGAACATATAGGTAATTTCTCATGAACAAAATAACAAATGCCACTTAACTCTAGGTGTAGCTTTGTAAAAGCAGAAAAGATTAGCTACCTTGAGGAGTCGAAAGGCAGTCATCCAGCACATCCTGCTTTGTTCGTCTTCAGCACACAACAACCGCAGTTCCTTAGTTTCATTTCTCACTCTGTTTGGCTTTAAAGTATTAGAGGGAAGTCAGATACTACTTTTCATTAGAAAACCAAAATCACTGTAAACTTAGAATCACTGTAAGCAAGGTAAAGGCAGGTACAGTATTAGTCTAAAGAAATAGACAGAAAAATCTCCCACCACACTGAATTAAAAGCTCGGGAGATGCTGAGCATGCTTTGAAGAAAATCACTTTCTCAGCTGGGTCCAACAAAATCAAATGTTGGTGCCTCCTGACTTTCAGAAGCTGGTGTCATTGATCCTTGTAGGCTCCCTCCAACTCAGGGTATTCTATGATTCTATGGCTTGAAATAACCTGCAGTCCTAGCAGTTTATAGGAACAAGATACTCAGGCCATCTAGAACCAGACCCAGGCACTTAGTTCTGTTGGTTTTGCTAGTTGAATTGTTTGTGGGGTGGTTTTTTTTTTTGGTTTTTGTTTTGTTTTTTTTTTCAAATCTGGGAGAAGTTTTATAAACCCCCATTTTGAAATGAAGGATGAAAGTTTCCATAACTGAGGGTAACTGAAAGTTTTGTTCCATCCGTTCAGGATCTGTCCTGCAGCCAGGCTCTTTGAAGCAAGCCCTTGTTGTCTAGCTCTGGAGCGGCTGCTAGGTAGGAGACTACTTCACTACTGTCATAAAACCAGCTCCCAGCCTTATTTTCTTCCCAGAAAATTACACTTTTCAAACCTTTGAAATACTTTCCAAATGGATCTATCAGCACAACAGTTTAAAAAAATCTTCAAAGGCAACTGGTTATTCTTATATTCATTTTTCCAAGACAGTCTTCCTCTTTAAATAAAGGCAAACCTCTGGTGCACAATAACGGTAAAATTGCACCCAATCAGAGTTTTACCCTTTGCTGCTATATAGTTTTGGTGCTTGCTGCCCACAGAAAGTTTTCTATTTGATTAGAGAACTTGGAAAAAGCTTTCATCTGTGAGGTGAACCAAGGCCACCTCACAAGCACACCATGCTTCAGCCCTGAGCTGCTCTTGCACAAAAATTTCCCAAACCAAAGGAGCACCAGATAAAGTGTTAAAAGTGTCACATAAAATGATGACAAGATTCACAGGACATGCCTGCCAAATGAAAGATGTTAAAGATCAAGTCCTTGTGACAGAAAAGGCTTGCAGAATTTTACATAGAAATCCTATTTAGCTGGGGGTTGGGGTGACTCTGAGCTATCAACACTGTCTGGGATTTGGAAGAACTCAGTGAGAAGATTTACCTTTATACAAAATCCATACTCTGCAGGGGCATTGTACAACTTCTTGCCAGCTATCAACGAGAAGATATTGCTGTCTTCCAGGTCAGCCAACAATTGCAAATGTCTTGGCTCCTGGGGAAATAACATGATTTAGCAGAGGTAAGTAAAAGGTTTTGGAAAATGTTGTGCAAGCTCTGCAGTCTCTCAAGCCCAGCCTCCAACAGAGGGCAGTGCACAAACACTGCTCCTCTCCTATGCAGCCTCAAGTGGCTATGGCACACACCCCTTAAATACCAGGCTACTAGCAGAAAGTGCTTGGTACAGGAAGCTCACAAAATACTTATGCAAACCCCTCACATTAAAAATGATCTGGCCTATTACATTGGTCCAGAGAAATCTGAAGGTTAGCACAACTTCAGTGACCACAATGATATTGCTTGGCTGGTTTGTTTTTATTTTATATAATGAAACTGTACAGCTGTGTTCAGGCGTTGAGAGCTCAGGGCTCAATTGTCATTTGATCATGCCTTACTTATCTTTTTCTATGGAACACAAAAAGGGAACACCGTGTGAAGATTTTAAAAACCAGCAAAAAATACCCACTGTAAAAGCATAAAATACTTTCACATGCTAGTACTGTGCAACTTATTTTCAATCTTACCTTTGAAGTTCCTTTTGTAGAACAATAAAGTCCTGATCTCCTCAAACACATAAACAGTTTCTTCCATGATTTCCTACCCAGATCTTTCACATGCAAGAAACCTTGAATTTCAGGGCAGCTACTGGAGTTTAAAAAGTTCTGTTGGAGAGGAAAATGTAGATGAACATTGTATCCTATGGATGAATTATAAAACTGTCACTGTATTTGCAGAACGGAGAAGAAAATGGCAAATCACTTTGCTGACTGGAGGTGCAGCTTCACACTACGCTTAAACTGACCTAGATGTTTAATCTGATTTATGATCAAAACATATATTCCTGTTCCTCCATTGCGTCTACCTGGCCATCTCCTCCAGCAACTGACATCCTCCTATTCTCTCCATCAAGACTTAAATCTCAAAAAAAGCTATTGCTTTTCTGTATCCCCATTTGTCTTGCACCTTGCCTGAAGAGAAAGTAAGCTTATCAATGCTTAAAATAGTATCATGTCACAGCAATTTTGGCAAATTGTCTAACTTGGAAACATTGGCCAAAATCTTCACCTTTATCCTAGTGTTTTTGAAAGGGAAGAGGCTATTTCAGGATTTAAAGTTATCCCAAGACAAGAGGTATACCAGACAACAGAGTATTTAACTGAAAATGAAATGTAAAGCAATAAAGTAAGTGCCAGCAATTGTACCAGGATTGAGAAGCATTTAAGTTCTTGACAAAAGGAACCACATACAAAATAATTTGATCTGTGATATATCACAGGAAGGAAGAATTAATTATGGTAGGAGAACTGATGGATTGTTCCCTTATTACAACGGGACAGGTTTTTAAATGACAGAGGGCTTGATCGAAAGTTAAATGCCAAATTAATAAATTCAACAAGTATGAAGAAAAATGCATAAACTTGGTTGGCCTAGATGTCTCTGCAATTCTTCAAAGCCGTGTTTTGATGTGGACAATGTCCACAGGAAACAAAACCAAAAACAGTGCCCTGTTTCAAGAGTTCTTATTTACATGAAACCCTAATTTTTTTCTCCAGTTCTCCTCCTCATCTCATCTAATAGAATGTGAAAGAACAATCAATTTGCTTGCTATATGTACTATGACTCCACTTCTCAGCTGTGAAAGAATAAAGACCAAAAGGAGAATAGATTCTTTCTGTCAAGTCAGTTAAAACAAAAGTAGACCAAGGTGGCAAGGTTTTTTGCATGTCTGAGCCAGGTTGAGACTAGGGAGAACAGATCCCACTGGTTTTAATGCTATTGTCATAATTAAAAATACTAGCTATTAATGTAGTACATAATATCATGAGATGATATTTAATATTCTTTCCTATTATGTGTGTAATTAAAACCAGTGAAAGTGCTCAGTGTATAAGGTGGCCTGAGATGCAACATGTTTAACGACGACTAGGCTGCAGGAGGCTTACCTTCAGTAAATTACAACTGCCATTGAAATTCTGAAAAAAGGTTTTGTTTTTTATAAAAAAGAAGTACTTAATAAAAATTTTAATGAAAATAGATTTTTTATGGATAAACAATGAACTAGAGGGAACATGCTCACCCTTTTTCCCGCCACCCTCTTTTGTTGTTAACCCCCATGACTTATGCTTCTCCAGGACTGTACCTTTCTGATCCTTCCCCAAAGCAAACTCATACCTCATGAGGCTGTATGGTTTTCCTTTTGCTACCACTTGAGTTACCCTAAAAACTTTTCCATCTTTAAGAACATCTTGCTCTTTTGGGGAGTCTTACTGCTTGTATTAAATTAAGCAAATTCAATTTTCCACTTAAACCACAGGAAGAAGGGTCCAAGGTGTGAAGACCTCTATTCCTACCAGCCTGTGGCAATGCCAGTCCACACCAGTTTTGGTTTCTGATTACAACCTCACTGCACATGACTTTCATTTAAAATTCCAGAAATTGGCTTGATTTATTTTGTTTGCTTATTTCCCAGCTGTAAGTGGATGCTAATGTTTAAAATTCTTCTCAGTGAATCTGGAACCAGAATTTAATTGACTTTGGTATGGTTATGAGATAAAATGTGTGCACTGGATCAGAAGTTAGTGGAAACTTGTCTTCAAACAGAGAGTCAGTGCGTATTTACAAATATGCAAAATGACAGAAATCAAGCTAAAATCATTTACTTGTAGTTTATATTCTTCATATATTTGTGCTTTTGATTTATAATTTGCCTGTTATTCATGACACTGTCTTCCAGGCATCATGGTCGTAATGTTCTTAGTACAGCACTTCTTTAACAAACTGTGTTTTAATCTGGCTCTGGAGTTGAATGTTCACAGGTTGAGAAAACAAGTGAAGTGAAAAGGGTTTAGACTATGGGACTTAGATTGGAGTGCTAAAATTGAGAGATTTAAGTGAATCAGTTACTGGTCAGAGAGGTAGCCCACCCTCCAGCACCATCCTTGAAGAACAACCAATTATGCCACCACCAAAGCTCCTTTATGAGCAAGCAAGAAACTGTAGAGTGACACAAAACTTCAGCATAAATGCAGCGCACATGCTACCACCACACAGATTGCACAACTCTACCAACACATACACATAAGGAACACACCCCTGCAATTTAACCTGGGGAGCTTTAAATGGGATTACTTTGTAAATACTACTTTGTACATATTTCTACTTGCACTTACTTCTTAGGGCATTATTTTTCTATACAAAAGAGCAGCTAGTTGGCTGCATGGGGAAGTCAGTCCTTATTGTTAATTTTTGCCAGGCAAAACACAGGACACAAAAAGCAAAAGCAAAACTTCTTATCATCTCAAACTCATCTTCTAATATCCACTTTCATTTTTACACTTTCTGTGTACTACTGTACTATGATGTGGAATACAGAAGAGTACTTCTGTCCTGCCTTTTATAAAAGGTATATTTGCTTTTCTAGAAATATAACTGCTAAGACTGTTTGCAAGTAACATTAGGTGGCTAAACCAGATACCCACAGAGTATGTTATTAATGGAACAAATATGTATGACTGTAGCTATGAATACTTTGTGTTTACAATTTACACTTCAATGTCACTGGGTAAGATCTTTGTCAGGTATTTTCAACATTAGCTCCATATGCTAATTCACTATACTGGTCTTTCTCTGACTGACTATTATCTAGATGTTTTAATTCTCTTCCTTCCTCTCAACCCCTCCCCCTCCAGCTCCAAAACTTCCTTTATCCATACAGATAATTTACAGTACCTGCAAAAGTTGTGACTGTGGGATACTGCCATTTGTTTGCTGGCACCAGGCAACCATTTGTTCTGGAAAGAAATTCTAGGCGCAAAAAGAAGACAATTGGAAGTCTCATTATATTTAAACACTTACAGAAAACTAGTGACATTTTCTTCCAGTCATTAATTTTTTGGAACTATTAAATCAATTTGGAGATCCCCTGACACAGAAAGTAATACTAGGGCTTTTCAAGTGCAGTTCTTCCCTTCCTTCTGCTCACCAGATGCCCATGCAGACAGATTGTGAGTTTTTAAAATATCTGATATGCAGCATTTCCTAAGTGCATTTTCTTCTCACTTCTTCTTCTGCTGAGGACTTTTGGGGATCTCTAACAGCCTCTACTTTCTTGGGAAGGAAAGGATGAATGGTCCTGCAAGCTGAGTATGCAGTGACTCCTTGCTTATTGCACAAATGACGTGACTTCAGATTTATTCCTCCAATTCCCCTTTTATCTGTTATGTTTTAAAATTCCTTTCTAATCTGGTACACTGAATTTACTATACACAGCAATGACATGAAATCATTCTTGAAGTTTTTAAACATTATTTGAAGCATGGAGACATACAAAAATGCCTGGAATAAAGCAATGACTGATTATAGCAAGATGAATCACAACAAAAACATTTCCAGTTTAGAATATTTGTCACTCTTCAGGCAATATAAATTTCAGTCTTTAGGGCATAAAGAGAAGGGCTGAAGAGGAATCACCCTTCTGCCAGGTAAGCTGCACAATGAGTTATGAAAGCTAGCATTTACCAGCATCTCTTGAGTAGAAACAGTGCCATATGGCAACAGCTAATGCAACGGATAGGGAGCCTTCACATTCTTACACCACAAGAATGATTTATTCTGGGATTGCAGGAGCCTGGGACTGAATGCCAAGCATTCTGGGTTTTACTCCCATGTTCTGTTATTAATTAAAATATACCACATGAAACTAATGCACTGGCTCCTATGATACTAAAACTTCTGTACAACACTCAGATGTTCATAGCTTATCAGATGGTGAGATCAACAGAAGTGAAGAACTAGGAACACTCCATGTACAGAAATGTTTCACAGAGTAAGTCAAGGCACAGACTCTGAAATAAGTACCAGCAGATGACAAATGTACATGCAAGCACACATGTGAGGATGCAGCAACTGTGCACTTGCATCTATGAGGAAAGTTATTAATTTATCACCCCCAGTTACTTCAGCAACGAGTTGAAATATGACCTTGTGTATCTTTTTTTCTTCTCGCACCACAGATGCCTCACTGACCCAAAATCTGTTCTTATCTAACCACCTCTGGATTACCCTTTCTCAGGTATCTCGAGGGTCCCACCAGCTGACATTGGTTCATGCCAACAGTCTGCTCCAACATTGTGAAAAAATCATCCTCAGATAAGCAGTTACACAGTAACCGACTTAAAATTACAAGGTTCAAAGGATCTTACAAATCCAGGAATTTGGTACAGCTATGGCATACACTACTTCTCAAGCATGGGTATACCAAGGACATAGAGAGGGCAATCTACCGTGATCAGTAAAGAAGGCAGATCACATTAGTAAAGCACAGCCTAAGGTGAAAAAATGTTAAGTAATAATAAACTGAAAATTCCTTGGATAGAGTAAGTGCTTTAGGGACTACCCATATGGGTTTGGTGTTTTATTAATTATTACGGTCAGAAATTAAAACGTTTGGATACTGCTTGTTATGGGATGAATTTGCTTTGAATCAAGTAACTTTGATGATAATGAGTAAATTGCACTTCTGATTGTTTTTCTTAAACTAATGAAGATTTCCTTGTCTTGGTCACTCTCTGATATAACTACAGACACTTTGAAACAAGTACATTTGGTAACTTGAAAACACTTGAGATTTTTAGGCTGGGAGGAAAGTACAAGGAATTTAAACATTGGTTAAAATTTCTATGGAAAGAATTCTGTTAGTTGGTTGCCTATTTTTTTTAATAACAAATGTTTAAGACATAACAGTGCCCAGCAATGTTATTGCAATCCACCCCTCTGTGGTGTAAACAGCTAAGTAATGAGACTCACCATGGGATTTTTGAAAAATTCGTATTTTGCGTAATTCTTCCTGAACAAAAATTTACTTTCACTTCCCATTGTGGATTCAACTTGAACTATGAGCTCATGATCTTCCAAGCACCTCTCTGGAAAAAGAACATGATGTTAACACACAGCCAACCAGCAGGAGTGAGACCAACTAAGAACAGAAGTTAAAACAACACAGTGTAATTCCATTACCTTTAAAGAAATTAGCAAAACACATTCTAGCTTTCAAACCATAATGCCAATACTTTACTTTGTAATGTATAACCAAGTTTAACATTATATGACAGTGTTCTTAAAGGAATTCCTATATCAGGGCTTTATAAGCACAGACTTTTGAGAAAGGAATAGATTTTTTTTGTGTGTGCACTTACAATAGTACAGACAAACCTCTTTTGGCACTAGTTTTTTGCTGTCAAACTGGACAGGTTTGAGGGGTAAAAAAGTTACAGAAAGGCCACTGTTAGGTCTTGAACTATCACAGAAATACAGTGTTGTATTTGATCATACTCTATAAAACCAGTTCATTTCAAGGTGAACTTCAGGCCTTTATTGTAAATGCTAGACAATGGGGTTTATTATGAAAGAGGTCACAGGATCTACTTTACAGGAATACTGACAGAGACAAATGTTTTGTACACATGACAGGGCAATTTTCTGCTCTAGATTTGGTTACAAGGTAACTCCCCAGAACCACCACTTCTCTGGTCAAAAGAATGGCACATCAAAGCATGTACAGATAGCTTAACAAACCCAATTCACTGAAAGCAGGAACTCGAAAGAAGGCAATTGGATAAGTGTGCACTACTTAATGAACTCATTATCTTGACAAGTGTTCAGAACTTTCTGAGAAGATATTTAGGTATTTTACAAAAGTTTTAACTAGTCAGTGCTTTCATGCCTTATACAAAATTTAAAAATTAGGTCAAACAAAACATAACTTTTGCAAAGCTTTAAGCAAAATGCCTGTGACTTGGTGACCAAAGAAGCTTCCCCACTTTGTGTTCCTTCAATCCTTGTATTCCTACAGTATGGTATGCCAGGGTGCGACCCAAGTTTTTTCGGTGTTTTCAGGATAGAAAGCAAGCAGTCATTGGCATCTCAAAAAGAGCAAACTCTGGAATATCAGTTGAATTATTCAACTCAGCAGATTATGTGGCGTTCTTCAACTGAAAATTTAACCTATGACTAAATGATCCCATCATTTTTTTCACCTGTACTTATGCTGTCAGTCATCACCAGCCCATTGATGACTTCAGCATTTACTGTGCATTTGTAATGTCTAGCCTTGCTATAGATTGTGTTTTCAAAGGGGTTAATGTTGAAAAACCTCCATAGTGGCTGCTCTCAAACAAAGAGCTATTTCTTAGTGCATAAGGCATAACACCATTTTGAAGGGGTAGTTCTTCGACTAATGTGCACAACAATACTGCTACTGGGTGGCTGTTAATAAAGGACATTTGGTGCCACCTCAACATCCATCACCTAAACCTACACATTTCTAGGGGCTTTGCAGATGAAGTGTCAGGTAGTGCTAATCTGGTTCTACTATCACAGATTTTAAATAACATGTGAAGTCAATTCTCCTTTACATTGTGATGAAGACTGTGGGCCTATGAGGGTGAAGAGTCTATTTTTTAAACTATGTTTCTTCCAAAAAACATTTAATTACATTTGTATGAAGCTTCATCACAGTATGAACCCCCAAAAGACCATGTCCTGTTACAGTCTTGTTCTACCACCCAAAATTGTGGTCTTCACTCTTTAAAAATTGCTTGTCAGGCACAAACTGTTTATTCTGTTCTGAGGAAATGAAATATAGATGAACATTTGTCAACTGGTTTTGTATTTCAATGTTTAATTTCTGTAAATATACTTAGTGCCTGATTCTTAGATGCTTTAGACAACCGACTTAGATAAATTCTATTACTACATCAAGACCCTTTTGAGATTCTGTGGTGATACTCTGCTGATTTAATGTTTATATTTTCATTTTGATGGTCAAAGCCATCTTGGAGAAAAGGTGCAGCATTTCATAGCACGTGCATGTAAAAAAAGGAAGATAGTCCTGGTCAGTTTGCTATTACTTCATAGAAGTTGAACACTTGGCAAGTGCTTGGTAATTCACACTCGGTTGGTACAAATGGGATAAACTTGACACACGAGCAACTCAGTCTCAGCCCTGCTTTGAGCTTTCTGCTACAAAACTAGAAACACAGATGTCAGCCTGTTAAGTTCAGTTCAATAGGTCAGTCTGTCTTCAAGTGGCAATGCTGTTGAAGTGACCAGAAATGTGTCCTTTCGGTTTATCTGATAGGCCCCACTCAGTCTCCTCTACACACTTCCTGGAACAGACTTTCCCCCTCACCCCACCCAAGTTAACCTGCACGATTATCAGAACTACTACTGATCTGTAGCAGTGATACCAGGTGGGAAAAGGAGCTGGATTCCATTAAGAACAGCCACAGCCATAGCCCAAAATTCCCAATCAGAGAATCACTACAAATGACAGGTGGACCCCTATATGAAATAGCCTGCCCTGATTTTGCATTTAAGCAAGTGCTCTGTTCAACTGTTCCACTTTTAATTCACTCATATTAAGGAAAATCAATGCACATTAACAAAAAAATCTAGGTACAAAACTGCAGCAATGCTTTCTTCTAACCCTCACATATTTCTGAGCCCTACTACATTCTCTCCTGCTTCAATTGTATTTAGTAAGGTGTACAGTCAATTCTGGAACAGGAAAAATGAAGTCTGTAGGTAGGGAGGAATTCTTTCAGTGTCCAGACACATGCAATCATGTGAATGTCTTAATCATTATTATTTTTGCTAATGTCATAGATCTCTCTCCCTGTCCTAAACTGATGATAGTTAAGCATGGAATAGAACACAGGGAGAACACCACATTTTATACACAGGTTAGGTATACTTATAGTAGCAAATGAAATAATGGGACGAATTCAAATTTCATAGACTGCTTAAATATTGATTACAACGTGCTTTAGATATTAGTGATATGGTGCAGAAGGAATCACTTTCATATCTCAAAACAAGAAAATCTGCTGAAAAATTGTCACACCACTACCTCCAGTGAGAACACAAATATTTTGTGCAGTCAAATAGCTGTTTAAAGTTATGTTCAAGCACACATTTTATTTGGAATATACTTGGCTGTGTGTGTGAAGTGAACAGTGAGGTGAGGGTTCCTTACAAAGCGGGACCTCGAAGACCAATGCAATGATAAATATGCAGCTGGCTTCAAAAATTTGACCTTGTCCTCAGTCTGTCCAATAGTTAAACAATGAATTGGTTCTGCAAACCAAGCTCTTTTGGAAAGTACTATTAGGCAAAATATGGGGAGGAAAAAAAAGATAGTCAGCTAAATGAAGGAACTGCTCTCTTTAGGTGAGCTTCAGGACTATGACCTAGAGAATTAAGTCAGCAAGGATGTGTTGTGTAAGAAATAATGTCTTCTAGAAACACAGAATTCTGACTGGTTTTTAACCACATTTCTTTTCACACTAAGTATTTATTCACCATTGTTTCATACTTATACTAGCAATCTTATATCTAGAGGAAAAAATATAGACCATCAGATGGCTGATGATAACTTCATCCAGGTTGCAGACAGATTACTACCCTTGATCTGACAGTCTCTGAAATACAGGAAAGCATTTAAGCTACAGACCAGCTAGAAATAAGCAGCCAAATAATAAAAAATTCAAACTGCAACCAAAACTGGTGGAAGCATGAAAGTTGGTATTTAAAGTTTATTGAATATGTATACTTCAGACCCCAAATTCAAGAAACTGGATGATGTCCCCTGTTAAATGAACTCAATTATTCCGTTTTCTGTCTTCATCCTTTCAAATATGTGAAATCTGTACAATTACATGTTTTAAAATTATTTGTATATTTTTTCTTTGTCTGTTGCCTTTACACCCCCAAAGGTTGCATTACTTCTCACACAGATCTACTGTGTGGCCTACAGGGGACAGCCCTGGGGCCTTCTCTGTGGAAAAAAATTTGGTGGCTGCTGAAGCCCCAACCTGCACACCCCGCTTCTCTGGGGGCCCACTTTGTGTTTCAGTGTGAAACAGAGGTCCAAGGCAGGCAGGTCCCCATGTATATAAATGCAGCCTGATAAGTATCTTGCTCTTTTCCCATCATTGTTAATTACCAAGTTATTTGTGTGTAAACAGAAGCTTTTGATTTCCTAATCAGCCTCCTGCCCATTTCATTCAGAGATGTCACACACCAGAGTTTGACAGCACAATTAGTCACCATGGAAGCTATTGTGATGTCACAAACACTGAATTGTGGCATCATTGAATGAATCTGGCAGGAGAAGGATGTTGGTTACAAAGGAGAAGGCTTCTGTTTACACAATACCTTGGTAATCAGCAATGATGGGAAAGAGAATATAGAAAAAGAGAGCCTGGTAGTATAATGAGCATTGATAAAACTGAAAATTTGTAAAGGTTTTTAGAAGTTCATGTGGCATATTGAGCTACAGAGATAAAGATTCTGTGAATTATACCTTAATTCTTCACCTCATCCTATGTCCTCAGAAATCAAAGTATATCACAGATATAGACCAGTGTTTCACGTTAATTTTTTCATATATTTCTACATTAGAAGAGATAATAAAACCATAATCATAATATCCTTTGTGTTTGGGTTTTTTTAACTGTTAGTCTGCAAAGTAGTGAATTTTTTTGCGTTTAACAGTATTGGTTTAGGGTATCACATTTCCAGCAAATCATTTCCTTTTTTTATTCATAAGGGTTCTGAATTACATTTTTAGACATAAACCCCCCTCTGTTAGCTACAGATAGCATTCACAATTCCAGTGCTGGCAATTGCAGCTTATGTTTTGCCTTCCTCTGTTTTCTAGAACAAACATTCCCCATGAAGTATATCGACTAATGCTCCAAATGCTATACTTTTTAAAGCGTTATTGTATGCTATGGAGAACTGTAGATAGCATTATCTGAGCGATATGCTGTTGCAAGCTGCACAGCAGAACCCGTAACTAATCAGTGCCACAAAATAACAGGAAAAGCAAGACTGAATAACATGAGATCTTTTCAGGTACTGTAATTAAACCAATTCAGGGTGTTATTTAATTCCCCACGGTTTTTCCTCTTGCTGCCTTCTTGAAACTGTAACCATGACACCTTAATTTCAATCAGGTGGAGGAGCTGCTGCCTGGTGAGCAGATACCACCTCTGGTCCAGAAACTGCCCATGGATTTGCTGGTGGTGCCACCATTTTTTCCCTGCCTGAAGTCAAGTTTAGCCAACCCCCTCCCCCACCTCAGCATGTCAAGCTTTCATAAGCATTACTGTATGTATGTAAGGCTGAGTCTGTTCACCCAGGTCTCCCAGCTGGTGATGAGCTGAGCTGTTTCATAGGACCGTACTCTAAGGATCAAGCTTAATTTGCCTAAGCTGTTTATTTGCAATAGCTTCAGACACAGCAAGGTAGCAACAGAGCACTAGCATGAAGATTAGACAATTCTTTTTTTATAATTAAAAAAACAAAGGATGGGAAATAAGGGAAGGACTTTATATGGCTTAAACGCTTTACACTTCAAATTGTAATACACACAAAGCACATATGTGACTTCAGCTAATTGTACAAATAAAAGCAGTGGAAAAGAAAATGTTCCGTCTGGAAGCACATTCATATGAATTACACATATTTTATATTCCCAGGTAACCATGCCACCCCTTTGACCATTCCCTACCTAATCCTAGGTGAGGGTGATGCTCCACTAGAGTCCAGCTGTTATCATCCACACAATGACTTTTGTAAACGAGCAGCTGACAGAGGTCCCTGGCTGTCATGTCTGCTAGAATCTCGACCACTTTGCTTGTTCCATCTTCACTAAAGACTTTTACATCCTGCAACATAAAGGGTACACTTACAGATCAACAGCTCTGAACATAGGCAAACCACACAGCTACTGTAGAAAAGCATCATCCTCTTGATGTGAGGGTTCCAAGCACCTTGGCAGCCAGGACAAATGAAATGGATGATTCACTTTATAACACTTTTTCTTGATGCACCCTAGACCTATTTCCCCTCCCCCCTCTCCAACACCTCCCTGCACTAAACGAAGATTCAGCAGGGTTAATATGACCACATACATAGGAAAAGTGAGAGAGCAGGTTCTGTATAAAGCTGTGTAAGGTAAGGAAACATGAAACAATGTCGAGAAAGTACTTTGGCAACAGTGGGCGAGAGAAATCACATCCAGTCAAACACACACAATTTTCATTGCAATCCCATTGGAGGCCTCTGAATAGTGACAGAGGAGCAGGCCAAGACCCCAGAGATTAAAAAAACCTCTCTTGTTCCCCTCTAACTTTTGATTGTTTCTAGCAGGGAAGTCCCACTTGCAGTTTGCTGGCAAAATCAATTACTAGCACAGTCCACACATTTCTCTCCCTGCCCTGACTTCTCTTTTGATCCTAGCTTGAAAGTGATTTGAAACCAAATGTGCATACACTGCACACCCTAAATATCAATGGGGATGAGAGAACAAGTCAAGAACCTTCTCCGCCAGCTCCTGAATTATACAGATGCTTTCCTCTTTGCATTGTTCTGCTCAAGTGAGAGACACTTCCTGCAAAATTATTTCTCCGGGTGAATGTGCAGGTCCCAGATTTAAATCAACTCCGTGTTTAAAATGCTCCCCATCATAGCGAGAGAAGGAGAGTCTAACAAAAACCTGAAGGATAATTCGATATGGAAAATCTTACCTCAACAGCACGTAAAAGGCAGCAGTCGGAAGAACAAGATGGCATTTTAAATGGGGATTGCCTCTTGAGAGTTAGTTCTCTGCCTCCGCCGACCCTCTGCAGCCTGCGGCTGGGTGCCTGGGATGCCGGCGGCGTCAGGGGCGGTCGTACCCTACCTGTCACGTAGCCCCTGCTATGGGGACTGTTTCTGGGGAGGGAAACAACTCTGCCAGAGCTCCACTCAAAGGGTTACACGCAATCTTTGCGGTAGTGAATCAAACCACACTGTGCAGACCAATCCTAGCCCTCCCTCCGACTGATGTAATCATTTCCCACACACTATCAGACTTCCAAATTATTCCCGCCTCCCCCACCCCCTCACCCCCCAAAGAAAAAGAAGGAATTACAAAGGAAATGTGGGGTTTTTATTACGACCTCGGGGCGCTTGAGACCTCTGGGGCGGCCGCGGGGCGGGGTGTGGGGAGCCCAGCACGCGTGTGCTGCCGCTGCCCCGGTGCTGGTCCCGCCCGCAGCCCGGCCTGCCCGCGCTGATGTCATCGCCTGCAACTTGGGCACTTGAACTTCTCCGCCGCCGCTCCCCGCCCGCCCCGGCTGCGCTCCGGGCCCCGGCGGTGCCACCGCACCGGGGCCGAGCGAGCACGGCCGGCGCCTCCCCCGGCCGCCGCTCCCCGGTGCCCTGGCTATGCACAAATTCGAGGCGAGTGAGGGAGGAGTTAAAGCTTCATCCAGCCCAAGTGACTGAAACCCGCGCGTTCAGGAAACGGCTTCGTCTGACAGCAGGGATGAGCCAGCTCTTTCAGAAGTGGGCTTTGGAGAGGAGAGGAGGGGGAATCCCGGTTGCTCGGGGGAAGGCATGCGTGCTGTGCCATGTTACGGCTGCATTCCTGCCAACGCTTAGCGAAGCCAGAGGCATCCTCACACACGCAGGAATTTGTTGGGCGTGGGGTGCCCCCGTTTTCTGTCCTGCGGGCAAGTTTCTGTTGTGTCACTAGCACCGTGTCGCAGCAGAGCCCCACAGCATCACACCCGCAGCGGTCCCGGCCCGTTCCGCCACTCGGCAGCGCGCCCGTGGGACGGGGGGACACGGGTGGACGGATGCCCGAGACATCTCGCAGGCATCGCACCGCAGCGTGCGAGTGGGGAGCGCAGTTCTTGTGTTCCCTCACTCCTAGGATGGGCAAATACACCGAAAAGCCAATATGCAAAAAGACAGAAAGTAGCTATTTTGTTTGTTTTAGTGGGGAGTGGGAGGGACTAACACCCGCTTGATATTTTTTTTCTTCTACTTTTTATAGTATAGCCATAGATTGGACCGAAAAGTTGGTGGCGAAATAAGTAATTTCTACTTTTAGCTTACTCTGTGCACGTAACTGCAGTTTTTGTATTGAAACTAAACTATTTTGGATGGATTTCCTGCCTCGGGAACCAACCTGGTGACATCATTCATTCATTAGTCAGGATAAGCACAACCCTCTGCTCTCTGCATCAGCTTTCACGGGGGAGCCCGAATCAGGAATATACCACAGCAATCGCCACTTTTGCAAGACCTGGAGGACAAACCCCGCCTCTTTTCCTTTCCTGCCGGGAACAAGGCAATGATACAGGACAGACTGCACCTGATCATGGTCCGTGCTAATTCCCAGAAGAGAGGCAAAGCTCTTCTGCTGAGGGTGCCTCTCCAGTCCATGCAGGTGGAAAAGAGAGAGCTGCAAGAAAACCACCACACTTTTCTCTGCTCCCAAGCATGGAAAGCCTTAATGACGTGCGGCCACTGGAAGAAAGCTGCAGCTGTCTTTTATGCTCATTCATGCTGTGCTCTCTCGGTATGAAGTAAAGGGGTCATGGGTACGTGTCCCACCCTCCCCATCCTTGCCCAGAGTCTGAGCTGATGCTGATGCCAGCCCCACTGAAGTACCGCAGCATTTCTAACTACTGGGTACCCAGCGCTGCAGTTTGGTGTGCGACTACTGTAATGCCATGTTCTCTCCTCCGAGAGCCAGACCCTGGAGGCAGCACCCACTGTCCCGACACAGCCACTATGGGAGTTAGGTTACAAACATGGCTATGTTCTTTTGTGGGACCAGTCAGCCCTTGGGGTGTTAACAGTGCCTTTAAAGCCCAGGGACTGGAGTGCAGTGGGTGGGCAGCACAAACGCAGCGATGAGTAAGTTAACTTCACTGACTATTAATAGTGCTGTGTTTGCCATCAAGGACAGTGCAAGGCCATGTATCACCACTGACATCAAAGATATAAAACACTGTATCAGGAGGGGATGTAATGGCCTGAGCTGAACCCTGCCCCAGGGGACAGGAGAGAGGCAGAAGTGAGATGAAACCCTGTGTCTCTGCAGAGGCAAGAGTACAACAGCCCCTAAGAGACTTACATGGAAGGTAAGGGGATTTTATGCCCCCAAACAACAATGCAGAGTTATGAAGTATAACCACAAATACGAAACCAGCTTGACAACAAAGCCTCACCTCCAACTTTCTGATAGCAGTTCAGATAACAGTATTCCTGTATCACACACTGGACTGAATTTAAAGTCAATTTGTCAAATCCAACTCTCTCACTTTTCCTTTTTTCTTTTTTTTTTTTCCCCCTAAGGAAGCACCTCCCACTTTAAGGGCTCTCTATTCAATCTTCTTCCAGCAGAAATATTGTTTCACATCCAAAATTTACTTGGGGCTTATTATCTACAAAGGAAAATGAAACAGGATTCATTTGAACAAAATACTCCAATACTGAAAACACAGCCTGATAAGAGGTTCAAAAAGTTAGTCTGACACTTTTTCTCTGCATCCCTCAGAGAAATGCAGTGAAATGCAACAGCAAACTGCCTGCAACTGTGATTTACAAAAGGCCCTAATTACGTCAGCAGCACAAGGCACCTTCTATTCAAAATTAAGGTTAAGAATGCTAAGCCAACCAGAGCACTATATTGGCTGAACATTCAGTGCTTTACAGTGCAAAGGAGCAGATAACAGACTGCACCATTGTTCTGGGAAGAAGTCTTCCCCCAAGCTTTTCTTTTTTTTTTTCAAATGACAAAAAGACATAAAAAATTTAAAAATTTAAAAGAACATTAATATTCATGGTAATAAACTTCATAAACTTCAGTGGTTTCATATAATGGGTCGCATATCTTGACTATCCTCATGGCTGTTTCATCTTCCAGCCTCAGTTCCTCAACCTCACTGCAGTATTTTGTGTGTATCAAGTAATGCAAATATTTTAGGAATGTGAAAGGAAAGAAGAAACAACAACAAAAATCAGAAAGCTCAAACTGTCATGTGATGGTCACATAATTTCTTCTCCACTTATTATGCTAATTCTTTCATTTTTTCTTCAAAACAAAACCTATGACAATACACAGTGATCACAAAAATTGACTGTTTTATATGATGCTATGCTGAAAATTTTCAGTGGCAAACAGATCTATATTTGCATTCTACAATCTGAAACAGTGTAATTTATATCAGTGCAGACCAACCTGTGTTATCCTGGGTTATGACTCCAAACATAAGAAGGAAGCACCTGTTATCAGAAGGCCCTCTGACTGAAATTTAATAGCTAAAAGGTTTCAGTACACAAACAAAAGTTTTTAGTTCTTCTAGAGTTCCCCTTTACAAGAGATGTAGATCAGAAACTTCACAGAAAGCTATTAAAATATACTGAAGAATCATTACTAAGAGCTGCACAAAGAGAAAATCAGTCCAGCAAGTTTTGACTTACATCCCCCAATTTTACTCATCAAGACTGCTCAGACATGACAATCATACAATCAGTGAGGTAAATAGAAGGAAAATGGAACTGAAATGTATGCATGTGCCATATGCAAGCAGAAGCAGCTATTTACTGCAGAAGGCACCTATGTACCAGGCAGGTACTTGGTGTTTTCACTGGAACCCTCTTTTAATGAGATCTTTTTTCTAAAAGCTTTTTATAGTCAAAGCTTATCAGCTCACAAGAGCAGAGTCAGAGTCACTGGAGAAACGAGGAAGCTTTCAATTAGGTCAACTCAAAGCTGCTGAAGACTCAAGCTCAGCCTGTAGGCTACCCCTGAACTGCTATTTGCCCGGTGGAAAAAGCAACAAATAAAGGAAGGTTTTGCTTCCTAAAGTTACAAACTTTTGAAAAA